TTTGAACTTTCAGATTCTGAGTCTGAGCGGTGTTAAACCACCAAAAACGTTGGTTGGTTGGTTTGGGGGGGGGGCACTATGTCCTTGCCATCTCATTAAACGATAACAATATCTTCTTTGTAACTGTTGCTCATCGGCAAATAGACCATGCCTTATTTTTACACGATAACATTCTCTTCTTTGTAAATGTTGCTCATCGGCATCTAAGTTTCCTGACATGACGTCACCTTACCTAGGCCACGACTCCGTGAACTGTTGACAACACGGTGCACACTTTGTTTAAAAAAGGTCGACTATGTTTATTTGACTAGTTGAAATTTGCCCCGTCGGCCACGCTTGTTATGTTTACCCTGAGCACGTTGAAAGGTGGCTACTTGGATCAGCATTGTCCTGTCAACAACTGATGCACGCACCGCCGTGGAACAAGAAGACAAAACCTTTATGGGAGACCTGGAGGTTTTTTTTATAAAAAATATTTTTTTTTTATATCAGCTGAAACGCCCATGCATAAAAATGGGGATTTCTCCGTTGAAAATTCGTGCGTTCCATCATGGGAGGTCGGCTGAATCGAAATCCTCGTACATGATATTCTTTTCTCTTTCGGTTGTAAAATCTTTGCTTCGACACGGAAGCTATTTGCCTTTTTTTGAAAAGAAAAAAAAATATTTAAAAATACGTATTATTTTGTGCCGACCAATTAATCTTCTCTCTTTATGTCACGTGTCTTAGTTTTTTGTTTGTTTGCTGTGATTCAATGTTGAGTTTTGCCGTGTAGGACAATTGAGCCGGCGGCATGTTTGCGTGGTTACATCAGAGCTTGGGGATGTAATGGATGTAATGGATTAGGTTATTTTTTGTGTATTTTGCCATCATGTTCGTGCACGCAAGGCACGTGACCCGCGCCAACACACTTCCCGGCACTTTGTCGCCAGCGCTGCTCTAAACGTTTCCCCCATTTCCTGCCTCACCCACTTCCCACCAACCACCTCGACCCGTTTCCGTACCTACTAACTCACTAACTTCCCTTCCCCACCAACTGCCTCACCTACTTCCCACCAACCACCTCACCCACTTCCCACCAACCACCTCACCCACCAACCACCTCACCCACTTCCCACCAACCCCCTCACCCGTTTCCGTACCTACTAACTCACTAACTTCCCTTCCCCACCAACTGCTTTACCTACCTCCTCACACCTTACATCAACCCATTCCCCCACCAACTGCCTCACCTACTTATCCATATCTTAGGTCACCCACTTCCTCTCCTAATACGTCAACCCCTGCCCCGACAAACAACTTCACCTATTTCCCCAACAACTTCCTCGCCCGCTTCCTCACGCACCTTAGGTCACCCACTTTCTCGCCAACTACTTCAACTTCTTCTCCAACACTTACCGCACCTGCTACCCCACCAACTACCTCACTTTCTTAACCGCATCGTAAGTCGCCCAATCCCTCACCAACTGCTCCTCCTGTTTCCCCATCAACTGCCTCACCCTTTCCACCAAACAAAACAACCATTTTTATGTAAATATGGAATAATTCGTTTTTGTCGTCCCTTCAGCCATGTGATCTCATCATTTCCTTAGTTATTCTATCTGTCTTGTAATATGTTCTCTCCTTTGCTCCCCGACTTTGACACGACATTTAACTAGTATCGATTTCCTGTCAAACAAGTAGTTCTTAGTGACTACCAAGTTGTTCTAAGTGACTACCAAGTTGTTCTAAGTGACTACCAAGTTGTTCTAAGTGACTACCAAGTTGTTATAACTGACTTTCAAGTTGTTCCAAGTGACTACCAAGTTGTTCTAAGTGACTATCAAGTTGTTCTAGGTGACAATCAAGTTGTTCCAAGTGACAACCAAGTTGTTCTAAGAGACTACCAAGTTGTTCTAAGTGACTACCAAGTTGTTCCAAGCGACTACCAAGTTGTTCTAAGAGACTACCAAGTTGTTCTAAATGACAACTCCCTGTATGCCTTCATGTATGGCTTTCACTGCATGCCTTCATGTATGGCTTTCACTGTATGCCTTCATGTATAGCTTTCACTGTATGCCTTCATGTATAGCTTTCACTGTATGCCTTCATGTATGGCTGTCACTGTATGCCTTCATGTATGGCTTTCACTGCATGCCTTCACGTATGGCTGTCAATGAATGCCTTCATGTATGGCTTTCACTGCATGCCTTCATGTATGGCTTTCACTGCATGCCTTCAGGTATGGCTTTCACTGCATGCCTTCATGTATAGCTTTCACTGCATGCCTTCATGTATGGCTTTCACTGCATGCCTTCATGTATGGCTTTCACTGCATGCCTTCATGTATGGCTTTCACTGCATGCCTTCATGTATGGCTTTCACTGCATGCCTTCACGTATGGCTTTCACTGCATGCCTTCATGTATGGCTTTCACTGTATGCCTTCACGTATGGCTTTCACTTCATGCCTTCATGTATGGCTTTCACTGCATGCCTTCATGTATGGCTTTCACTGTATGCCTTCACGTATGGCTTTCACTGCATGCCTTCATGTATGGCTTTCACTGTATGCCTTCACGTATGGCTTTCACTTCATGCCTTCATGTATGGCTTTCACTGCATGCCTTCACGTATGGCTTTTACTTCATGCCTTCATGTATGGCTTTCACTGCATGCCTTCACGTATGGCTTTCACTTCATGCCTTCATGTATGGCTTTCACTGCATGCCTTCATGTATGGCTTTCACTGCATGCCTTCATGTATGGCTTTCACTTCATGCCTTCATGTATGGCTTTCACTGCATGCCTTCATGTATGGCTTTCACTTCATGCCTTCACGTATGGCTTTCACTGCATGCCTTCATGTATGGCTTTCACTGCATGCCTTCATGTATGGCTTTCACTGCATGCCTTCATGTATGGCTTTCACTTCATGCCTTCATGTATGGCTTTCACTGCATGCCTTCACGTATGGCTTTCACTTCATGCCTTCATGTATGGCTTTCACTGCATGCCTTCATGTATGGCTTTCACTGTATGCCTTCACGTATGGCTTTCACTTCATGCCTTCATGTATGGCTTTCACTGCATGCCTTCATGTATGGCTTTTACTGCATGCCTTCATGTATGGCTTTCACTGCATGCCTTCATGTATGGCTTTCACTGCATGCCTTCATGTATGGCTTTCACTGCATGCCTTCACGTATGGCTTTCACTGCATGCCTTCATGTATGGCTTTCACTGCATGCCTTCATGTATGGCTTTCACTGCATGCCTTCATGTATGGCTTTCACTTCATGCCTTCATGTAATATTCTAATGTCCCACCCTCTTTTACGCCGCAAATTTATTTGACCAGCTATTTCAGCAAAACAAAAGAAAATATTAGTCACAAAACGCACTTGGGAATCTTTCTTTTTTTTAAAAAAGAATCTCAATTAGAGCAGTTATCGGGAATTTTATTTCGTGAAATCAGTGGCATCATGTTTCCTTCATCTTCCACTTGAAAAACAGGGAAAACAGATTTGTGGGCAAGGCTGAAAATTTGACACAATGTTTTATCATTTTATCTAGTTTCAGCTCGATAGTTTGACGGGAAGTGGGTCAAGTAGCCGATTTCCCCGCCACGAAAAAAAGCGAAGTTTATGTAAAGGAGCTACAAAAGGGATATCCCCTATCGAAGGATATTGTTCCGTGTGTAAAAAAAAAAATGTGCGTTTGAGACATTGCTATGTAAAATGAACTCACCATTTCAGTGATGTAGTTTTACTAAATGATGTTTTGTGACTAGTCGCGAACCTGCGGTTCTCCATTCCCCACACATATCTACTATATAAAGTTTTTAACAAAAAAAAAAGTTACTAAAACAACCCCATTGCTATAAAACCCATGGGGAACACCAAAGAACTCTTTATGCACTCAACTGAACTATGAGATAATCTAATCTGATGTTAAATCCCACTTATACAACACAATGAACTGAAGTTTCTTCAAATGGTAAACAGCACGTATTCCTGTAAATCTAAACAATGGGATTGTATTAAACAGCTTATCTTTTATTGAAAAAAAAACAAATTAATAAATATATACTTTTAAAGCATACTGTGTTGCAAAAATAGAATACAGCTTTATTTGAATGTGTGCGTCAAACAAAAGAGCACCGAAAACTTTCCTTCAATAGCTGTTTAAAAGCGCACCGTTCTGAGTAAAGGCTAAATGAAAATGTTTGCATCAAAAAATGAATTTACTTGAATGTCCCTCGAAGCCACTGGAAAATATAAAAATATTTTTGTTTTACTCTTTATCCTTTACATTTTACCATTCCTAAAAAAGTTCGTGTTTTGGGACAAAAGGATTATGACCAAATTTTCCAGGAACCATGTGGAGTGTCGTAATGAGTGTCAAATTTGGCTGCGATTGATCGATTGTTTTTCTTTTGATTAATTGACAAATTTACAAACACAAGTCACACTTGGCTTCGTATAGTGGATTTAATGACATTGTTTCATAAAATTTGGGATATTTTTTTCCTTGTTAAAGGGAAGAGACCGCGGTATTCTTTAACTTTTTATCTAAAAGTACTAATCTCCCCTTTTTATATTAATAATAATTATAATAATAATAGTACAAATTGAAAACTATGAAAATAAAGGTTTCATAGGAATATGATAGTTTTTTATATTTTATTATTGTTAATGACTAGTAAAATAATGTGATAATTATTGAACTTTCATTAAGTCCTAATCAAATGACTGTTAACTTAGGGCTTACTTAATCCATTTTTCACGCCATTATTATGCGTGTTGAGATTGTTGAATTCCTCTATAGACTTTCTTTACATTAATTCATAAAATAATCTTGTTTTCCAATTATAACTAAATTATTTCAGTGATATAAGTAAAACACACACACACACAAAAAAAAAAAAAAAAAAAAAAAAAAAAAAAAAAAAAAAAAAAAAGAAAAAAAAAAAAAAAAAAAAAAAAAAAAAAAAAAAAAAAAAAAAAAAAAAAAAAAAACACGAGCACTGGGGACTAAACGGACACCATGTAACAATGTATTCATTAAATAATACCATGACAATATGAATGATGAGAACAATAAAGCACAACAACAAACGCCAAGACCCTGTAACGTCACCACCCTCAACAACAACAATAGAAAAAAATGACAAGATCTGAGTAGTGCCATGTGAACATGGATGGGGTTCTGTTCAGATCGATCCCATATTCACTTTATTTATAGAAACATGAGAACAATGTGTCCTCTCTTTTTTTAAAAAATAAATAAATAAAATAAAGTCTTCAGGCATTGCCCTTGTAAATATCACGAGACACATGTTCAGTGTTCACGGTGTGTGTCCTATGTTGAAAATATACAACACAATGAACATCAAGTTGTCTTCATTTCTCTTAGAGTTAGCAGTCAGTCGTCAGTCACACTGAAAGGTTTAACCGAGAGGTACTGTTTTTTAATATTTTATGTTATCTTGAAAAATTGTTAAGTTTACTCCAATAGTATTTTTTTTCAATGACGTCATCCTTGGTTACCAGACGCAGTGGGCCAGTTAGAATGGCAGAGATGAACGGAATGACTCAAAATACGACATGGTTTAACACAAAAATAACATGTTCAGTGAACTCTTTGAATGACAGATCACGTGACTGGTCGAAGCTAGAGCACGTCTGATGTCATGTGTCAAAATATGAAACCGTTTCTACAAAGTCTAAACAAAGTTACCTTTATAAAAAAAATTATAAACCCGTGACATGATGTTTTCATGAATACTGATCAACTATTCTATCGCCCAATGCTAATGCATGATTAGAGGGGGAGGGGGGGGGGGAGAATGCGGACCCTAGAATTCTTTTATTCCTTTCCAATTAGTGTCACTGATCCTATCCCTGTCACTGATCCTATCCCTGTCACTGATCCTATCCCTGTCATTGATCCTATCCCTTTCACTGGTCCTATCCCTGTCACTGGTCCTTTCCCTGGGGGGGGGGGGGGGGGGGGGGAGAATGCGGACCCTAGAATTCTTTTATTCCTTTCCAATTAGTGTCACTGATCCTATCCCTGTCACTGATCCTATCCCTGTCACTGATCCTATCCCTGTCATTGATCCTATCCCTGTCACTGGTCCTATCCCTGTCACTGGTCCTATCCCTGTCACTGGTCCTATCCCTGTCATTGGTCCTATCCCTGTCATTGGTCCTATCCCTGTCACTGGTCCTATCCTTGTCATTGGTCCTATCCCTGTCACTGGTCCTATCCCTGTATTGGTCCTATCCCTGTCACTGGTCATATCCCTGTCACTGGTCCTATCCCTGTCATTGGTCCTATCCCTGTCATTGGTCCTATCTCTGTCACTGGTCCTATCCCTGTCACTGGTCCTATCCCTGTCACTGATCATATTCTTTCGCTGATCATATCCTTTCGCTGATCATTTCCTTATCACTGATCCTATTCCTGTCACTGATTATATCCCTGTCACTAATCATATCCTTATCACTGATCCTATTCCTGTCACTGACACTCTTTTACTGATCCTACCATATCCTTGATCCTATCCCCGTCAGTTTTCCCATGCGGCACGCAGAGGGAGTCTGTCCCCTTGCTTGAGTGTTTCAAACATCTTCATCTGGTCCTTGACCAGTGTGTTTATACCGGACAGGTCGATCTTCTCCTCCGGCAGTCGGAGGTACCGGCATTTATTCATGTCTTTCCACAGGCCCATCAGGCGCTCCTTGTATCCGTTCTCTGGGAAGTACGTGGGCGTATCGTCGAACTCGGCCGTCGCGTTGCTACGCCTATGGTATTTATGTTTGACACGAACGTCGGGTGTGAAAATATCTCTGTTAATGCTAGTTTCCAAGGGCGGCGCCTCGTTTTCTAATGTGGGCGTCGTTTGTACAAAAGTCGGGTTTTTCTGCAGATAATCATCAACTTTTTGAAGAAATAACTTCGTTCTTTTATCAAGGGTTGCTGCCCTTATATTCTCCTCCTCCAACAATTCCTGGCGGCGTTCTTCGTACACGTTTTCTCCCAAATTACTGTGGACAAAACAAAGTCTTCTTAAAAGAGTCTTCTTAACAAAGTCTCCTTAATAAAGTCTTCTTAGCGAAGTCTTTTTAACGAAGTCTTTTAAATCAGCTTAACATTAGGCCAGAGGTTCTCAACCTTTCTAATGCCGCGACCCTTTAATACGGTTCCGCATGTTGTGGCGACCCCCAACCACAAAGTTATTTTCGTTGATAATTTATAACTGTAGAGTATATGTGTTTTTAGATGGTCTTAAGCGACCCCAGTGAAAGGATCGTGCGACCCGCAAAGGGGTCGCGACCTACAAGATGAGAAACGCTGCATTAGGCAGGTCCTTATAAAAATAAAAGATTTTCTGATCTGCAATTGTTTTTATATGTGATCTATTGTCTTGTATATTTTTTTTTATTGCTGTTCTAATTTGTTTAAGTCACTAAATAATGTGCAAATGGAAAGAATTAAAAAAAAAAAGATTAAGTTATAATAACTTCGATACTAAAAAGGTAATCGATCAATACTTTGTTTCTCATATATGGACTGTTATAAAATATTTACATCAAGTATTACATATCTTCGCATTTTAGAATGTATTTTCATGCCAGAGATTTTAGATAATATTACCAGTAATAAACTCTTAGATTCTAAGTTGCAGACTCTGTTTTATTGAACTGATAGTATAGGCCTACCTGTCTATAGAGTCGTTAGATCCGTGAGAAGGTCTCCGCCCCCGACTGTACTGGGCCGGGGCCGTACTTAACCCTGCCCGGGCGTCCTTCTCGGCAGTGGCGTGGCTGGAAAACGGCGTGTGCGAGTGCTGAACGGCCGACCATGATCGAAAAGAAAACATGTTCCTCCCTGCCGCTTCGGGTTTCTCCGCCTCCGGAAGGGTCAATGTCCTGACCTTCTTAATCACCTCGGGCGCAGGGCCCTCTCTTACGCTTAACAGATTTGAGTCTTCTTTCACCAACTGCGCAGGAGTTTTTCGTGGTCCGGTGGGACTCTGGAGAACAAAAGCAGAACCTGGCCGTTGGCCCTGGGGCGAACGTGAAGGCGCATCTGTAAAGACGCCCGTCACAGAGTTGCTACGCTTGAACCTGCTCGAAGCCGCGGGCTGACCTAGAGAGGCGGCGGACCTGCCGGAGAGGTCGTTGCCGTCTGGCTGCACAGCTATCCTGGGCAGGGCGCTGCGGACGGCTCTGCGGCTGGGAGCCCGGCTGCTGCTCAGGTTCAGCCGTCTGGAAGCCGCGGCTATTTTGATGGCGCTGCCCAGACACACGTCACTGTACTTTGGTTTGAGTTTACCGTCCTGGTCGAGCTGTCTGAATTTGCTGATGTCTTCGGCGGGTAGGTGCGACTTAATTTTAGAGACCTTCTCCTTAAGTTTCCTATATTTTACCTGAGGAAAGCAAATAAGTGATAAGATATTATATTACACAAAGTATTGGTATATACGAAAAAGGATCAAGCTTTTTTTAAAAAAAAATAGAATGAAACAAATCAAAATTATTACCTTCTTCATCCTAATATACGTAATAATTAAATAAGCATTAATAATGTTAATAATGAATAATAATGCAGTTAAAACCAGAGATGATAAATATGAAAGAAAACGTGATAGGCACAAGGCTTCTCCGCATACGAATAAAAAAAATTAAGCAGTTATCATTTCCTTGCCCTCTTCTGTGAAAGCTACATTACATATTATGTGATAACATAGTTGTGTTTAATTTAATGTCTCTGTAATAAATTTGTATTTGCTTGAATTTATAGTTTTCATGAGCAGAAATGTTGTTAGTCTTTTGTTGTTGTTGTTTTTTTTTTTTTTGGATTAAATACTTTGATTATCCTATTGTCCAGATCCAGGAGTCGTATAGCGTAGCTCTGCTCCAGCTGCAGTGTCTGGAGGGACTTCTCCAAGACTCTTTGTTCCTTCAGGTTGTACATGACGGCGGCCATCTCCCTGTCACGGCCGGCCTTCCCTGTGGCCAAGTACGACATGACGTCCGGATGACGCTAAAAGTGGGTCAGAATTAATAAAAACGTTAGGTCGATGATAAAAGTTGATGGTCAGATTAGTTTTGGAACTGAAAATTGACTTGGTGAAACACCTAAAACGAGGTCCTCTTGAGCAGTTTTATACAAGCAATGCGTATCATAATAAAATACGATTAGCTTACATTACAGAAATGTACATTTAAAAACCTCAGTCATTCAGATGGATTAAGTCATTCCGATAGCCTTTTTCCTTCAGATAGACTTGGTCATTCAGGTAGATTAAGTCATTTAGATAGATTCCGTCATTCAGATAGATTCAGTAATTTAGATAGATTCAGTCATTCAGAAAGATTCAGTCATTCAGATAGATTCAGTCATTTAGATAGATTCAGTCATTCAGACAGATTTAGCTATTCAGATAGAATGAGTCATTCAGGTAGATTCAGTCATTCAAATAGATTCAATCATTCAGATAGATTCAGTAATTCAGATATATTCAGTCATTCAGATAGATTAACCTGTAAAAAGAAAATTTCAAATATGTGAAAATTGTTTGTTTTTTCCCTAAAACTATCTCTCTAAAATAAACAAGATGTAAAGTTGATGAATCTATCTTTCTACACGAGATTCCATTCTTCTAAACGAAAGTTGTGCAACCATTATACTTATTATTATTTTTCTTTGGTTCCAATTCGAAATTTAACTATAACTATTTCAAGTGTTGGTAAAGGGATAATAATATACACAATTTTTGAATGAATAAAAACTTCTATAATCACCCTGCATAAAAAAAAATTATAGATACTAGTGCTTAACCGAAGGCATTTGATTGTTGTTGTTTTTCATCTGGTCCGAGAATTTTGATAAAATACCCATGTGAATCTAAGTGTGACAAAAAATAGTTAACTTCTCATTTTCTATAATATATGACCGCCTTTAAACAACAGTTCCACAGAAAGTCCCACACCCTACCCACCGGCCTTTATCCAAACAGTCCTACAGAAAGTCCCACACCCTACCCGCCGGTCTTTATCCAAACAGTCCTACAAAAAGTCCCACACCCTACCCGCCGGCCTTTATCCAAACAGTCCTACAGAAACTCCCACACCCTACCCGCCTCCCGCCGGTCTTTATCCAACCAGTCCTACAGAAAGTCCCACACCCTCCCCGCCGGTCTTTAAACAACAGTCCTACAGAAAGTCCCACACCCTACCCGTCGGCCTTTATCCAAACAGTCCTACAGAAAGTCCCACACCCTACCCGCCGGCCTTTATCCAAACAGTCCTACAGAAAGTCCCACACCCTACCCGCTGGTCTTTATCCAAACAGTCCTACAGAAAGTCCCACACCCTACCCGCCGGTCTTTAAACAACGGTCCTAAAGAAAGTCCCACACCCTACCCGTCGGCCTTTATCCAAACAGTCCTACAGAAAGTCCCAAACCCTACCCGCCGGTCGTTATCCAAACAGTCCTACAGAAAGTCCAACACCCTACCCGCCGGTCTTTATCCAAACAGTCCTACAGAAAGTCCCACACCCTACCCGCCGGTCTTTATCCAAACAGTCCTACAGAAAGTCCCACACCCTACCCGCCGGTCTTTATCCAAACAGTCCTACAGAAAGTCCCACACCCTACCCGCCGGCCTTAATCCAAACACCCCTACATTCTTTATCCAAACAGTCCTACAGAAAGTCCCACACCCTACCCGCAGGCCTTTATCCAAACAGTCCTACAGAAAGTCCCAAACCCTACCCGCCGGTCTTTATCCAAACAGTCCTACTGAAAGTCCGACACCTTACCCGCCGGTCTTTATCCAAACAGTCCCACAGAAAGTCCCACACCCTACCCGCGGCCTTTATCCAAACAGTCCTACAGAAAGTCCCATACTCTACCCGCCGGTCTTTAAACAACAGTCCTACAGAAAGTCCCACACCCTACCCGCCGGCCTTTAAACAAACAGTCCTACAGACAGCCGTACAGACAGTCCTACAGTCATTCCTACACCATACCTTTGACTCTTTATTAATATAATAGTCGCCTCCCACTAAAGAAAAGAATCAACATAATTACCGGAGTTCAACCGTCACGCATGAGTTTCAATATCTTTTTTTTTCCCACTCAGTACTAATAATATAAAACATGTGGAGCTGGGGGTTGTTTTAAAGAGGAAGTAGGACGCACCAGCAGCAATATATATATATATATATTATATAAGAAATTTAGCGTTACCTGTATAACAAATATTTGCTATGTAGCGTTCAATCGCCTACTTCAACGTGAAGTAAAGGGGATCGGGTTGTTTTTTTCCACAAACAATGCGAAAATAAAGTCAGCAGTCAACCAGATTTACCATTTGATATTTTCATGGCGGTGATAATGTAAAGTTGGACATGTGTCACAATGTGATACATCCTCCATCACCCATCCCTTATAACGACCTTCATATATTTTGTGTTGAGAACATGACCGATGAAAATTTAAGTCAAGCATTTAATGTTGTAATGTCGCCGTACTTTCTTAAAAATATTCCATCACACCAATGACTTGCTTAAATCATTGAGCATCAAATAGCCAATTAGCCTTTCGAGTTTGTAATACAGAACTGTTCGGTACATTTTAACCAAACTTTTATACCTATTTCAGTCGGTGTCAGTTGAAGAGACCGATAATTAATAATCAGAGGCTAGAAGGGGGAAACGCTAAAACAAATGTACATTGCTATCAGCCTTTCTCCAGCGGGATATTGATTGCTTGAAAGGCAATGCAATCAAAATATGTGCAAATATCCAGTCCGAGATAAGGTACCGGTAACCAATACAAATAGCGGAATTTTTGACAAGGTTGGAGGATATGGCTGACTGGGGGGTCAAGGTCACAAACAGTAAGGCTTCCCTAGAGGGGGAGGGGGGCTGTAGGGGGATGTATTAATCAAGAGTGTCAACGTGGCGATCCCGAAGGCATTATGACTTCTTCTGGCCGTCGCTTTGTTGGCTGTAATGAGATGTATTGAGGGCGTCATGGTCTCGTGATTTGTGTTCACAGTGCGTAAAGAAAACGGTATACGTCATGGTCTTAACGAATGCCCCCCTCCCCCCAAACCAAACCAAACCAAACCAAACCATCACTAAGGGTTATTGTGTGGTCAGCTAGAGTTAGGGCATACATACTTTAGTTGTCTTTAAATAATGACCCAGCTTTTATTTTAAAATTTTTACTCAGAAGGCAAATTTTCTTTAAAATATCTCAGAAAATACTTCTTTTTTTTTTTTAACTCTTTTTCTTTGTATTTTCAACTCATATGATGTTAACAATTTCTTTCAGCGACCAGTGGGGGAAAGGTCATTAAAAATTTATTTCACATCACAATGGACCATAGGTCATTAACGATTTCTTTCAAAATCTTCCGCCCCCTTAGCTATCCTCTCTAATTATTTCGAACACTTTCCTGTCTTTGTTTCATCTTTGTTGTCACCTCTTAAATTCTCCCCATCTCAGACATTGTACTTACATTCCTATTGCCGACCTGGGTGACTTTCCTCGTTTCAAAGGAGGTAGTCTGCAACTCAACTCCCTTTCGGGCTTAACTAGATCGCTGCATAATTCCCTTTTCAGGGGCTCCCATTTTCTTGCGTTAGCGGGTTTGAGTTTGAATACATTAATGATTTTATAACAGTAATAATAACATTATAACTGGTATTTTATCTCTTACATTATAACTCTGGCATTATAACTCTGGCATTATAACTCTGGCATTATAACTTTGGTGTTATAACTCTGATATTATAACGCTGGCATTCTATAAAGTGTCAAGACAGTTCAACAATAAAAAGTGTCAAGACAGTTCAACCATAAAAAGTGTCAAGACAGTTAAACCATAAAAATTGTTAAGACAGTTCAACCATAAAAAGTGTTAAGACAGTTCAACCATAAAAAGTGTCAAGACAGTTCAACCATAAAAAGTGTCAAGACAATTCAACCATAAAAAGTGTCAAGACAGTTCAACCATAAAAAATGTGCTTGTTGACTTTAATAAAGAGAAAAAATAATGGCGCACGTCTCGTTAAAAAAAAAAAAAAAACTAATTCAAAACTATCTCAAGAACCTTAAAACTATTTATTGTCTGACAGTTTTCTGAACCTGAACAGTGAGATCATTGCTGTCATGTCTGATAGACCAGTCAGTTCCTTATCTGCGTTCAAGTGTATGCGAAAACAAACAAACATATCCAGGTCTCAGCATGAAATCTCAATGGATAATGTTACAGGACGTCCTGATAAGATACTACGAGTCCAGGTCTCAGCATGAAATCTCAATGGATAATGTTACAGGACGTCCTGATATGATACTACGAGTCCAGGTCTCAGCATGAAATCTCAATGGATCATGTTACAGGACGTCCTGATATGATACTACGAGTCCAGGCCTTAGCATGAAATCTCAATGGATCCTGTTACAGGACGTCCTGATGTGATACCACGACTACCCGTTGCACCTTGCAACAGTGTCCTATTCTTCCTGGCATGACAACATCAACAGTTCCACCCCCACCCCACCCCAAAATGTGAATTTTGCCTTTCTTATTCCTTATGTGATCGTTAAAACGGAACCACGGATTTTAAATATTACCGTATCCTATTTCTGATTTTATAATATACAGTGAGATTTCGAGTGATCTCTGAAGATAGAAGTTCTCCCCCGGCTGATTGCAGCAAAGTTGTGTACACGGTCGTGCAAATCGTGGCGCTAGGTGGCCGAGCGGTCTTTGACTCAATGCCAAAAAGCAGCTGGTTCAATCCCCACTAAAGCCAACGTCCCAGCACCGCGATTGGTCGGGGCGCGTTAGCCTTGGACGGCAACTCATCGTAGTGAAGGCTAACTCTAAATTCAAACCAGGACCCAGAATGATCAGTAAATTGATCGTGGGCCCTCAAAATATAAAAGAAATTTAGAAGAAGAAATAAAATATCGAGAGTGCCATTAGAGTTTATTATTACGTTGTTGTTTCTTTTTCTTTTTTTCCTTAAAATTGTTAACAATCATTGGCAATTATTTTTTTAAACTTTTAAGATAGTCTGAAGTCATTGAATCAGAGACTTGATGGCGTAATACAGTATTCCGACATTTCTATGTGCTGTAGTTATGCGGTCTCAATCTAAAAGTGGAAGGTGGCCAAATACACAAAGAAACGAATTTCACAATTCTTTTTAACAATATTAATTGAAATAGACTATTAGTGTGGAAAAAAAAATTTAAAAAAAATTATTTAATTATATCGTTTCTTTACGAATTGAGCGAAGGAATCTGTTTAAAAATCAACCACGCCCCTCACCCCTTTTCAGCTCTTTCTAGCAGTCCTACGTGTTCCAGTCAAAGTGTTCTATAGAAGACTCTGGAGAACACTGTTTTATTGGAGTAGACTCACTGACTTATCGACGTCACATGTGGTCCTCACACCAAGCAATGAATTGAACGCATTAAAATCGCAGAGCTAATGCCCGGCAGGTGTTTCAAAGCAGAGTGTCCCCAGACAGGTTGTTGTTGTTGTTGTTGTGGGTTTCGGAATCGGTGAATAAGAATTCGCATTTTATTCTTCTTGTTTTCTTGTCTTAATTTAGCTTTTAAAATTTTGTAACGTTCTGAAACTGTTGAACATGTCTACCCATTTTGCTTATTCAGATTTGAAACTAGATTACGGTTACATAAGTTTTTTAAATTTTTTTAAAACATAATAATAAGTAGATCATCTGTAAAAAATGTAAGCATTAAAACTTCTACATAGAATATGTGAATAAAGAACAAAGTAAAGGACTTACAAAAGAAGATTGTGTCCAAGAACTAAACAAGGTTCCCATCAAAAGATTTCAAAAGAAGTGCTCTGTTGTTTATTGGGCGTCTGATCAAATGCGTCTTCAGTTTTACAAATGGGCTTTTGTTTACTTTTTTTTTAAAATCGACGCCCCTTCAATTTTCCACCACTTCCAATGACCTTTTTCCGGTGAAACTCGATATTAAATTGTCAGGCATTAAAAAAACATATGAGGTAAAACTCTCTATAAAAATGGCAGGTGCTAACAATAACATAATGAAGTGAAACTCGATATTAAAATGGCAGGTATTAAACAATGAACAAATTGAGAAAATTATCGATCTTCATCTTTTTCACATTTAATTATTTTTAATTACAGAGAAGTGGGTGAGGCATGGGCGCCCGCAGAAAACTTTCTAGGGGGGGGGGTCACAAAATCGATTATCTTTCCAGGGGGGCAAACATTTTTTAGTAATGTTTTAATATAGTTTTAATTTACTGTAGCGTATTTGTATGGTGAACGAACGGACAGGACATCAGCTTAGCTACTTTCTCTTTATTTTCTCTTTACTTTAATAAATTTTGTGTCTATCGTTGTCTAAAATTTTTTTATCCAATCAATCCAGGGGGGGGGGCAAGTGCCCCCCTTGCCCCTACCTGCGGACGCCCATGGGGTGAGGGAGTTCCACGATATTGTCATTCACCCTGTAAAGAAAATCATTTGTTGTTGTGTTCATATAATGGGAAACAGGTGTATCCACAAGGCTTAGAAATGTAATCGTCTAAGAAGAGCACGCTGTTTCACTGCAACTTTCATTATCTTTCTGAACGCAACAATTAATTTACTTTGTTGTGAGAATTCACGTACTAACTAAGAGATGGGTTATTTTGTTGTTGTTTTTTTTTTTGTGTGTGACAATGCGGTAGAGTTTTCAATGTACTGCCTGGGCCGTTGACAGGGCTTACATTTGCACTAACAGGTTTTTTTCTGAAGTGATTTTGGCATAGCAGGCTGTCATGACATGTCATCTCAGTGGAATTAATTTTCCTCTCTTCTTTCACTTTTTGCCTGTATTTAATCTCTCATCTACTTATTTTCTACCACATTCCACTTGCTGTCCACTCGGACACTACACTTCAGTTAATTGTTATTTGTATTAAATTCTGTTTTTTTTTTTGTTTTTTTTTTTTTTCCCCTTTTGAAGGTTTTTTTCCGACCGTTTCGTTTTTTTTTTTTTTTTTTTTTTTTTTTTTATTTTTTATTTGTTTTATTTTTTTTTTTTTTTTTTTTTTTTTTTTTTTTTCCTCTGATGAAGGCTTCTTGCCGACACGTTCGTTGTTGTTTTTTTTTGCATTGTTTTTCCCCCCAAATTTTGCCTTACTTTGTTTGAATCCTTTCCATGACATGTCACGAGATTTAGATCTATGCCCGGGCTTTTTCTTGCCTTCAATGTTCCGGGCTATTCTATCATCTGTGACAAAGGGGTCGTGGAAAACAATACGATCAAAGCATTGTTGTAAACCGGCAGGCAAAGCGACATTTTTGAAAGGACATTCTCGTAGGAGACGCCAAGCTTAGATGTGTTGTGGAACAAAGCTGAAAGAAATGCTGGATCAGTAGATTTGTAACAGTGGTGTTCTAGCCAGAGCCATGGGAATGGAGTGGCTAAAGGGCGGTCGGACTCTTGTGGCAACTGTTTTTTCCTACAATGAGTGGTGGGTGTCATTTTCGGCCAAGTTTAACGAATGAAGACAAAGGGATTTAAAGACTAAAGCGAGCGTTTTATTTTACCGTCAATTGCTTTCTCTGATTATGGGAAACTGAATCTTTGACTAATTCTGACTCGATTCTGTACAGTTTTTTTTTTTAACCTTTTCTTCTTCCCCAGTGGAATAGAAATGTTGGGAGGAAAAGAAGGAGAAAAGAGGAATAAAAAAAAACAGCCATCAAGTAGTGCAACAGTGAAGGCAACTAGGGAGATAGTTGAGCCAACTAGTACAACAGTGTTACAATAAGTCACATAATAAGAGAGAGAACAATATTTTCCCATAGAAATGATCTAAGTTTAAGAACCAGTGTTCCCAATTGTCTTTTTTTAAAGAAGCTTTATACGCATGCGCCCAAACTAGTTTTATTATGTCAATCCAATATTTTAGTTCTACAGTCCATAAGTATTTATTTTTAATACCAGAAACGTTTTTCTAATCATTTAACCAACTTAAAGATGTACTGAGATTGTCTGAAAATCGAAATCATGGAAACACATTTCTCCATTGTTTCATCACGATGTTTGGGGGAAAAATAATAAGATATCCAGCCCTTTGCTTTTTCTTTAGCCACATAAATTATTTATTTCACTGGTTATGTCTCATGTCATCGGCATGTGTAATTTATGTCTTTTATATACTCTACTCCATTAAACACTGTGAACTTTATCAGAGGAAGTCATAATTTTTCTTATGTTTACACTGCAACCATAAAAGATCTAAAAGCGGTAAAACCCAATAAAACAGACTTTTGACTTATTTTTTTTCTTAGCACAATTAGACCATCTTATATAAAGTGTGTTACCCCGAGCTGTCCAGGTTATTCTGCAGCCCTACGAAATGTTTGAGTCAATGAACCACTAATCGTTTCATGTAATTACAATAAGGAAATGTAGAACGTGAGAAATAGACTTGTGGCTAAAAACATACAGCAAAGTGTTCATCAAGATTATTTAAAGTATTTGGACATTATCTCCTAACATAATGGTAAAAAGCTCGCATTTTCTCATGATAAATCTTCCTCTCACTCTTTGAACCCCCCCCCCCCCCCACCCCGGCACCCTTTGAAAAGCCACCCATCTTGGGTTGCAAGCCTGCGAGTTAGGGAACCCTTAATCTAGAGAGACACATTGTATAACGATCAGTAAAAAACATGTAAGTACAGAACATTTATCTGTCTCACAGCAATAACGGAGGATTTAAAACAAAAGGTATTAAAAAAAAAAATTCATGTATTTACCATTAATTTAAGTTTCAGAAAAACTGGTAGGGTTTTTAAGTTAAAAGTGTAGAACAGTATGTACGTGTCGTAAACATCCACTACGGACTACTCGGTTCAAGAGTGAAACCTGACCACATAAACAGCCTACTGTGGGCTATCAGTTGAAATTGAAACCTCCTAATCAATAAATGTCGGATGGTCTGTACATTATTTTAAAAAATTTTATTGAACCGTCTGTCGGTGAGAATTTTTTATCATGAATAATGTATAATAATTTAATTGCAAAATATGACACTTTAAACGCGAGGCTATTGTTCAATAATTTAACAAATCTTTGTGACATTTTATTATTCTGAATAAGCCAAAACTATTGACATGTAATGCATAATAGTTTTGGCTTGTACTTACATTGATTGCGTCACTATTATTGGTCTAAATAAATTAGTTTAATACGCAAATTTTGCTTTGAAAAAGTAATGGAAAAAATTTATTTAGACCAATACGTTTGATATACATTTTCATAATGTGTGTTTCTTTGTTTAAATATCTTTAAAGAAACGATAAATCGTATGGGGTTCAAAGCTCATTCTACTTCGGACAAAATATAGAGTCAGTCTGTACAAAAAATTCTCTACAATTCTGTAACTCACCCATCTCGGTAGCCTCAGGTTTCCACCTACTTCCGACTGTTTGTCAACCCAAGAGAAATGATTTCACGACCGATCACCGGGATCGATTTCCTGCCAATTGTCTCCCCCCTTTTTATTCCATTTTCCCGCCCAACCCGTTGTTTGCCTGTAACCTGTTGGGTGGCGAGATATTGCACTCTTGAGTGTCCCGCTCCGATAGCCGGTGGTTCCCCTTAAAATCACTACCTGGTGTTAACTTTAGTCTGACTGGGTAGGGGATCTGACGGTGTTAACTTTAGTCTGACTGGGTAGGGAACCTGTCGGTCTTAACTTTAGTCTGACTGGGTAGGGAACCTGTCGGTCTTAACTTTACACTGACTTGGTAGGGGAACTGTTGGTCTTAACTTTAGTCTGACTGGGTAGGTGACCTGTCGGTCTTAACTTTAGTCTGACTGGGGTAGGGGACCTGTTGGTCTTAACTTTACTCTGACAAGGTAGGGGACATGTCGGTCTTAACTTTACACTGACTTGGTAGGGGAACTGTCGTATAAATGTTTGCTTGTCCTGACAATGTTCATCTTCTCCCAAAAATGGCTTAGTGTTCTGATAAAACACGATTCAACATTTAGCGTCTTGCTTACGACGTCTTAATTCATTTTTTTTTTTTTTTTTTTTTTTTTTTTTTTTTAAACCTCTTAAATTCATCTACACAATATCACAGACCGAAATTTGCACTTTCGTTGAAATGAAGAACTTTAAAAAAAAAAATATCGTTAAACTTTGTACTAAACCAGACAATCGTTTTAAAAATTTCTTGAGGCAATAAAATGGCAGCCAAGATTTTCTTCACTGTAAATCCAAAACCGTAAAAAAATCTCACCACGTACCGCACATTCTCATACTCCCTTGACATGTACATGCACGTTCTGAGGTTGTGCACAAACAGATATGTACACCCGTCTCTCTCCCTGTGTTTTAATGGGTGTCGTAAATATAAACCTGTCTCGTCTGTAAACGAACACCCTATTGAGTGCTGGAAACTGATAGCGCAACGAACGCTGCCCGTAGATTTAAGGTGCAATATCACAATACCCGCTATTTCATCCACAGATTTCCTCGTCCGGTCCAAGACAAAATATTGAGGTTACGAACCTGGTAACATGTAGTGGGTAGTGGGGCGTCTTATTTGAAAAGATTTAATCAAGAATTTTTAAAACGTAAATAATTTATGAGCTTATTCTTCCTGGTATAGTATCGATCATAAAAAAAACCTATTAGTCCAGGTCTTATACTGGCGCCATAGTCTATTATCTATGTTTGTTTTGATGATCTATTGCTGTTTACTTTGTTCAGGCAGCGACGGAGAGGTGTGCCCTATCGAAAGGATCTCTATGACTACTGAGAGGGTAAGAAATGGGTAAGAGTTAAAGAGGTAGATACGATTGATTTGATATCTATATCGTGCCGGCATTCATGCCGTTTTAGCATGCTCACTGCGCTCTGGTCCCCGGGAATCTATTTAAACAAAAAAAAATTTAATCTTTTCTTAAATGATTTTTTATCATTTACAATTCCCCTCAAACATTGAGGCCAACTGTTCCATAATGTTGGTGCTATCGCTTCAAAAGAGCGCACTCCGTACGAATTTTTCCTGTGTTTATCCACACTATAATAGGAACAACAAGTACTGTGATGAAGACCGCAGGCTCTTCACGGATATATGTTTATAAATCAGTTCCTTGAGATATTTCGGTGCTGAGCCATCGCTGCAGCTGTACGCCAGGGACAGAATTTTGTAGTTAATGCGCTCACTCACAGGAACCCAATGGAGATCTCGTATGAGACCTAACAGCTTAATGCACACACTCAGATGATGAATCCCAGCGGTTCTTACGCTTATTTGTGGGAATAGGATCTTTTGAGAACCGTTTTGGAGGCATTAATTTTTAGCAATGGCATTTCTGTGTTTGAGATAGATGACGAATGACAAAGAAATTATATTTGAACCAGCAGGTCATCATGCCCTGTAGAGCTGTTAGGTGTGACTACACCCTTTTAGACATGCATGCTACATTCCCTACAATAAATGACATGGAGAGACCCATAAACGACTTATGTCTGAACCAGCCGGTCATCATATCCTGTAGAGCTGTTTGGTGAGACTACACTCTTTTAGACATGCATGCTACATTCACTACAATAAATGACATGGAGAGACCCATAAACGACTTATGTCTGAACCAGCCGGTCATCATATCCAGTAGAGCTGTTTGGTGAGACTACACTCTTTTAGACATGCATGCTACATTCACTACAATAAATGACATGGAGAGACCCATAAACGACTGAAGAAACGTCCTCTACTATCCAATGTATAAATATACGGTCTCAATCCAGAGCATATGACAATCCTGAGATTTTTAGGGGCTTTGTTTAATATTGGTGGACCTATGACAATCCTGATATTTTTAAGGGCTTTTTTTAAATATTGGTGGACCTATGAAAATCCTGAGATTTATAGGGGCTTTGTTGAATATTAGAGGACCTACGACAATCTTAAGACGCAAAGCTGTCTTATAAAGAGCAATGGTTTTTTTTTTTTTTAAGAATCTACATACATTTTTTTTTTTTTTTTTTTCAATAACGGAGCACGACATTTTTTGACAAACAAATTGCTAGCGTAAATCATACGTAGCCTATTTAATATGTTGGTTTGGTCCATATTTTATCTTTTTATGTATCTTATTTGTAAAATTACTCTTCATTCAACAAAGGTCCATAACAATTATATACGTAAACAGTCTATCATTCACAAATTAAATTTAACCTTTTTTTGTTTTTAAACAAAAGTATATTCACTGTGAGAAAAACTTTTGTTTTTTTAATTTATTGATTTTAGTAGCAAGCTCCCATTGATACATATTATGTCTATATATCTAATGATAATTACAAGCTCCCTGAAGAACGCGCTGTTGCTGCAATGCAGTATTTTCTTTTTACCTATTTTTCTTGCAATTTTGAGTTTCCTATAAACGTTAATCTTAAGGCGAGTGTAAGAAAGAATTTCATTTGTGCCTATCTCCAGATTATTTAAAGAGATTAACAGTAAAGATAAAATGAGAGTGAAACATTTTAAAAAAAATATATATTTATACAATTTTGAAAATGTTACTTCATATGCCAGAGGTTAGCAAACTTTTTTCTTTTTAAATTCTCGGCTGCTTTGCTTACGCCAGGTTTTTCGCAGGGTGCCCAATGTTCAATTCTTACAAATACATTGCAAATATATATATATATATATATATATATATATATATATATATATATATATATATATATATTTATATATATATATATATATATATATATATTGTAAGGAAACCTTGCTTACTCTCTGCTAACCGTCATCTATATCTGGCATTCACTAAGGAAACAACTCAGGCAATAACAATTGATGATTATAATCTTGTTCTTTATTAGGCTGACACTTCGCTTATACTTTCTCTCATCTCACAACTCTGACTGCCCTCTTCCTCTACCGTCGGAGCTCTCCCTGCTATCTGCTTCTCTGTCCGGCCGCGCTCTATCTCGTCCCGTCCAGAGGTCCCTATTTATAAGTCCCTGGTTCATAGAGTTCCCTTCCCAGGTCTGTACTCGCCCCGCCCCTTTTTCTCAATCGGCGCCAGGTTACCAACCAACCAGACGTCCCAGGTAAATGCCCTGGTCAGATGGCTTGATCCGTCGATCGTGATCCCTGGTCAGATGGCGCCGGCTGTACCTGGTCAGACGACCGGCAGACGGCCGGTAATCCCTGGTCAGACGCCCCCGGCCGAACTCTCCACACTATATATATATTTATAATATATATATATATATATATTAAATGGGGGGGGGTATTAACATTTTCTATACAAGTTTCTTGGCGCCCCTGAGAGGTAACTGCGACTCCCCAGGGCACCCCGGGCTCCACTGAGCTATGCAAATACCAAAATAGATCAACTCCATGTGTCATAATTTCCTGCTCATCAATAATCAGAAACGACAAAACCATTGACTGCATAAATACCCATCGCTATCTAAGGAAATTTAAACAGCAGAATGAGCTACTGAACAGCTAATACAAACGAAATTATCATTCAAAATACATGCACTCAGCTATGTGCAATAGGAAGAGCCGACTAAATGAGACATATACTACACCTCACTTTATATAAGTCACATTTAGTTGAAACCAAATATGCATGAGCTACCGATTCCTAGACTCCCCCCTTTTAACGGACATTATACGTAAGCCACCTATAAAGAAACTGTTTAACAAAAAATTAATGGTCTACCATAAAAACCCATTACGTTCTTCAACAACAAATAAACAAGGGATTAAACACCGGGGAATTCCTGTCAGTAAACCCTCAGTGTTTGGTGACGTTCTTCAAATCAAAATCATAGTTTCGTTTCTGTAAATAATTTTTTATTTTAAAGCTAAAACTTGGCCTGATATCTACATTAAGGCTAAACATTAGACTTAAAATTGAATTGCAAAAAAATGCTTAAATTGTAAAAAAAATAAAAAATTAACAAATAATTGTTAAAATAGTTTTGTAATAACAAACTTAATGCATCCGAGGATTCAATTGTTATTATTTATTTTTTTATATTGAAACAAATAATGAACAATGTCAGCATCCATATGAGTCGGATAGAGAGAGACGTGCTCCATCTCTCTTGTCTAAGGTAATTAGTCGCCGGTGTTACACGGTCAAAATTTCCTTTTATGTCCATAATATATTTATTTTATCTCCGAAATTTAGCAAAAAATTTATAATTGTGTAACACTTGAAATTGAGCCACTCTGAACTGTAGTCTGAGAAATAAAGCGTGTCATCATAGAAGTAAAATAAAATATGCCACGTTATTTATAGACTCATACATCAAGGACGCCACGCCGGAAGGAGTACCAGAAGGTCTTGACAATGGTGCGTGACAGTGGCATTCAACACTCGCGCGGGGGGTCTCTGCCTCCACTGACATTGCTGGGAAACCTCAATATCAACCGAGTATTCAAATCATTTTTCTAGTACGACCTGGAACTGATAGTGTCATGTTTTATTTATCTACTCGAAATAAGAGTAAAAGATTTACAGTTGATTTGTATCGCTTAATCTTATCGACTTTTGTCCAACTTTGCCCAATTGTTGTTGTTTTTTTTAAAAATTAATTTATTTTTATTATTTTTATATATTCTTGAGGGCTGGGAGGAGTTTAAATTTGTTCTAAGCGTGTGATCTATTTTTACTAACTTTCCATTAGTTGCGTGTGCACAATGTGTAATACAAAGTTTTGATAACGGGAATGTAAAAGCTTATAAATAAATCTACTTCCCGGGACGCATATAGAATTATATGTTGGTCCAACGCTTAAAGGGAGGTTGAAACTCGTCACATTCACCTGGTTTACTACTTTACAAATCAAAATGTTCAAAAAAATCGCAAAGTTTAGGATTGGAATTAAAAAAATATATATTTTTTTTAAATGTGACTGTGTCTACAGTTTTATGAGGGGTGAGTGAACAGCCGTTCTAACGTGTGCAGAAAATGATGGGCCACGTGTCATCTTTTCTTAGAGTAAATGTGTACCATTGAAACTAAGTCATTTGGTGTTATTTTTACAATGTATTTCTTATCTTCTCGTTTAGTTTTAAAGTGTTTCTATTTTTGTATCAATGATTAAAATAGGCGCTGAGAAACAACCGACAAAATCTGTCTAGTATCATGTTAATTGTATTCTACAAGGCAATTAAAGTCTTTACAAGTACAACTAATTTTGCTAATGGTATTTAACTGTATTTTTCTTTATATCATTTTTATATAATAGCAATAAAGGAATGTAAATTATAAAGTGTATCGCCGTTAAACCATATGCAATTCGCCTATTACTCAAAGACATTTTGAATCTGTCTAGTATCATGTTAATTGTATTCTACAAGGCAATTAAAGTCTTTTACAAGTACAACTAATTTTGTTAATGGTATTTAACTGTATTTTTCTTTATATCATTTTTATATAATAGCAATAAAGGAATGTAAATTATAAAGTGTATCGCCGTTAAACCATATGCAATTCGCCTATTACTCAAAGACATTTTGAATCTGTCTAGTATCATGTTAATTGTATTCTACAAGGCAATTAAAGTCTTTTACAAGTACAACTAATTTTGTTAATGGTATTTAACTGTATTTTTCTTTATATCATTTTTATATAATAGCAATAAAGGAATGTAAATTATAAAGTGTATCGCCGTTAAACCATATGCAAGTCGCCTATTACTCAAAGACATTTTGAAGCAGTTTAATTAAAAAATGAAGTAAAGGTACATTTTTTTACGAAAATGCAACTGATCTGATTCTTTAGCATAATTGAAAGTTTAATTGTGCTCAAAAGTAATAAGATAACATGATATTTCCACGGACCAATCCTATATATAAAAAATTAACCAAAGACGTTTGGTTTCTTAAAACATTACACAATATTTTGGCGCTAACAAACCAATTATTGACACATTCTATAGTGCAACAATTGGAAGTCCACTAACCTTCAGTATAACCTGCTGCTGCTGCTGGGGAAATTCGCCGTTTTTTTGTGTTTCATTAGCGCCGATTATATAACCTTAACAAGAAAGCCGGTAATGTAGCTCAAATCAGCTTGAAGAAATATGCATGTGTAAAACTTAAAACCTTTTACCGTATACTCCCACCACCCCACCCCCACCCCCACCCCCACCCCCTTGTTCATCACAGATGCCTCACATCATGTCGATCGGGGCAAATTCTTTTCCTCAAAGTTAGAACGGAAAGATTTAAAAATTTATTTGTTCCCCAATCCTTCAGAAATTGCCAGTGTGCTCTCCCGGCTGTTAAAAAATCTAAATAACTGCTCTTATACTCAGTATTGTCACGAATTGAGTGAAGTTCCATGGCATATGACGGCTGAACTTTGAGTGAAGTTCCCTGGCATATGATGGCTGAACATGGCGCTTAAGAAATACTATAGGTGTCTTGTGTTAAATTGTTTTGTAGATACATGTCCTGTTTTAGATTGTTATGTAGATGTCCTGTGTTAATTTTTTATGTATATGTACTGTGTTAAATTGTTATGAAAATATCTTGTGTTAAATTGTTATGTAGATGTACTGTGTTAAATTGTTATGTAGATGTCCTGTGTTAAATTGTTATGCAATTTTCCTGTGTTACAATTTGTTGCAGTTGTTTTGTGTTAAATTGTTATGTATACGTCCTCTGTTAAATTGTTATGTATATGTCCTGTGTTAAATTGTTTGTATATGTCCTGTGTTAAATTGTTATGTATATGTCCTCTGTTAAATTGTTATGTATATGTCCTCTGTTAAATTGTTATGTATATGTCCTCTGTTAAATTGTTATGTATATGTCCTGTGTTAAATTGTTATGTATATGTCCTGTTAAATTGTTACGTATATGGCCTGCGTTAAATTGATATGTAGATGCCCTGCGTTAAATTGCTATAAAGATGTCTTTTGTTAAAATGCCCTAGTTTAAAAAGGTTAGTCTTTGTAAGAACAGTTATGTATGTTCAGAAAATCAAGATGCACATAGTCATCAAAATACTTATCTCATTTTTTTTTTGATTGATAAAAGAACCGTATCGTATTTAAATAAGCATATCACGTGGTAAAGTTATTCGTCAATTTTATCATGGGTGGCATATGGTCTTGATTTTTATTTCATTTTGTTTGTTTGCTTATTGGCATGTTATCTATCGCATTAGCTTTCGGTCAATGTTTAAACCAGCTGTATACAATTTGATTACTATACTTGTACATTTTTTTTTAAAAGTTCTGTTATCGTAAAAAAATGTATTTTATTTTAATAGAAATTTCTAAAGATGTGTAGGAGAAAATGAAAGTAAAAAATTATGTATGAACTTAACGTCATATTTTGGCCCATAATGTCCATTGTCATTTCGACCGTCTCGTCGACCTCTCATAGTATGTGACTAAGTCTTACCACCAAATTTTTTTTTCTTTTATTCTGTCAACAGGTACATAACAAGGTTCCTGTATTTAAATCAGATGTCTCTTTTAAGCCTGGCTTTACTGTAGACTGTATAAAGCCGTTTATGTCGACAAGAAATCTCTTGATTAAACCATCATGGTTACCTGCCACACCTAAATGGCATTCAGTACAAAAAAGAAAAAAAAACCCCCTGGAACATATTTCCAGTGATCAGGTTGCAGTGGATCTTACGACGGCCTCAAAATAAGAAACATTAAATTTAAAAAAAAATCCTTTTTCTGACTGAGCCGAGCTTGTCGCTTGAATCTCCACAAACAAAGCCCGGGGGCGATTACTTGAGCGTTGAGCAAAGAATTTGAAACACTGTGACGAGACCAGGGACATAATGAGCCATGATAAAGCCCCAAACAGAGAGAACACGGGACACGTGCCCTCCCTCCCCCCCCCCGCCCTCAAGGGCAGGATAGACATGAGATACCGTTGACCCGTCCCATGATGCCCCCCGGGGCGCGTCGTTTTACACCTTTGAGCAAAGAATTTGAAAACCTGTGACGAGACCAGGGACAAAATGAGCCATGATAAAGCCCCAAACAGAGAGAACCCGGGACCCGTGCCCTCCCCCCCCCCCCCCCGCCCTCAAGGGCAGGATAGACATGAGATACCGTTGACCCGTCCCATGATGCCCCCCGGGGCGCGTCGTTTTACACCGGGGGGGGGGGTCTGAAATAAATACAGATCTCAGCCGACTTCACCTGTTGCAACAGGTTTGGTTTCTGACTATTGCATGAATTGAATGGCAGTTGACAGCTTTATACCTGCATTATGATTCTTCGATAACAACATGTTAAATATTAATGTCGTTATGAAGAGTTCGAGGATCGTTGCGCCCAGAATACTTGAATGTCTAGCGCCCACTCTTATAATTGGTGAATGTCTTGTGCCCACTCTAATAATTGGTGAATGTCTTTTGCCCACTCTTATAATGAGTGAATGGCTTGTGTCCACTCTTATAATTAGTGAATGTCTTGTGCCCACTCTTGTAATGAGTGAATGTCTAGCGCCCACTCTTATAATTGGTGAATGTCTTTTGTTCACTCTTAAAATGAGTGAATGCCTTGCGACCACGCTTATAATAAGTGAATGTCTTGCGAGCACACTTATAATTAGTGAATGCCTTGCGCCCACTCTTATAATTAGTAAATGTCTTGCGCCCACTTTCATAATGAGTGAATGTCTCGCTTATAGTCCAATATTTAAAATGTTTGTAACATCCAACTTCCGGCTATAACAATGGCGATCACTCTTAAGTTGTAAGCTAGTTTCCACTTCTTGTCGTTTTTTTCATTTGTCCTGTCTGCCGAGGGAGGCTCTTTGCCGGAACGTTCTTATCTCACCGTCCTGTCTTTCGATTCAAGCTGCCAAAATAACGTGTTCTACTATTTCCGTCACATAGCTTGAACGCAGCCTTTCATTTATTATACTTCAATCTTATTGTAAACTCACGTATAGTGTTGAATGACGAAGGGCTGGCGTTAATATGGAATGTGATTACCCGTTTTAGCCACGTAAACATAATCCAACATCATGGACTGCAGAACGGCCGCCAAGACTCAAGTTTTACCATTCTGTTTCCAATGCCTCATCATTTGTTATCAAGTTAAGTCGCATTTTATCACAGCGGTAGCTGTACGATGAGATTGTCGTCTACTGCTCATAAATAATGAAGACAATGTTTTAATGACATTTACAAGGAGCGGGTGTCTTACAAGGAGGGTGTGTCTTACAAAGACGGTGTGCCTTACAAGGAGGGTGTGTCTTACAAGGAGGGGGTGTCTTACAAGGAAGGGGTGTCTTACAAGGAGGGGTTGTCTTACAAGGGGGGTTGCTTCTTACAAGGTGCGGGTGTCTTATAATGAGGGTGTGTCTTACAAGGAGGATGTGTCTTACAAAACAATAAAACTCATAAAAATAAGCTTAAACCTGGATAGCATAAAATGAAATTCATTTGATACGTAGGTAAACTTAATTCGATTCGATACGCACTGACATTTCATTCCCTACGATACTTGCTTATAGTTAATTTCATTAGCTCGGTACATACACTTTAGCTCATTCCAGACGTAAGTAAAACGTTGCGCTCGGTACATTCCATGAAGACAAGACACATGTTAAGACAGAGATAGGGGACATGGTTGCTACAACAAACGTTTGCGTCTAAATTATTCTATGGACGTGTTATCATCTTTTCAAAAACAAGGCTTTAAGGCATTTTCGGGGAGGGGGGTAGGGTGTTGGTTTGGGGGGAGGGGGGCGCCCGACTGATTCATATGTTGCAGAGGTCAGTGTCGGATCTCAAGAATAAAAAGTTGGCCTAAGGGTCTAGTGTTAATCTTATACTTATCGTTAACTATTACCAATGGTTTGGTTTATCGCAAAGGTTAATAGGGTTATATTTCTATTAGCTTCCAATACGGACACACCAAGTATGAAACCTATTGATGTCAGCTAATATTAAGTATTTGTTTCAGGTAGAGCATCTTTTGAAATTGCTCTTCACATCCAATAATATCAATTAAACATCCGTCTATAATCAAATATTATTTAGAAGTCAAATCTTTTTTTTCTTTCGTGTGTTTTTTAAAAACATTTTCGACAGTCCGAAACACCCAGTCTTTATGGGAATTTTTTTTAAAGAGGAGTCGAAAAATAGGCGGATAAAATCTACATAACTTACCAAAATGTGACATAAAAGTGTTGTTTTTATATAAATCGCTCAAAGTTACTTAAACTTTGTATTACACCTACCACAGACTACAGAGCTCTACAGTTCGCACACAAGAACCAGTACCACGTGTGGTCTGTATTCTATGATAAAATCCTGCTATCCCACGCTGCTAATGTAAGCATCCATCCATCGATCAGCTGCTCGCACTTGGAACATCCACTATCGTGTATCCACTCCGCGGCACTCGCACACATCCCACATCCACAGCGATTAAGGAATCAAACTGACTGAAAGATCCCAAAGAGTTAGTTATCCAGATCGATCCTTGGCAAGAGCCAGGCAACCACAGCCCACTAATAACCTTTTGTACGAGGAAAAAAATCCTGAACCGAGGTTTGGAGGGGTGGGGGGGGAGAGGCCCAATTTTTCTACAGATCCCAGTATGACAAAGTGTTATAAGAAATCGATCCCATAAGCAGATACAAGGAGCCACATTTTTCTCTCCCACTTGTTTCTTGTCCACGTCTTCAAGACGATCCATTCATTATTGGCGTTATTATTTTTTGTTTTTTATCTTTCCAATCTCCATTCAGACACTGTGGTAATGTGACCTTTGACACAATTCCTCACGTCTGTTATGCAGGGAATGGGATACTTATTTTTTTTTAAAGAAGTGGTTTGCTAGTTTTAAATTAAGATCTATGAACATATAGTTCACTTGGGGTGAAAACGAAACATGTCGTGCGTGTCAATAACCGTATTAGTTCACGGACTTGTTCATGTCATTTGATTGATATGACACAGCTGACATAACAATGTGGGTTTTAAGTTGTTATGATTGAAATAGAGGCAAAACGTGCAACTCTGCAACTACAAACTTTTAAAATAATGGTCATTTATATGGATTGCTCTTGTGTGTTTAATTTGTGATGAATCCAAGAGTGTAACTCTTTACTTCATTTTGTGAAGAGGGTGGATGGGACTCGATAACCTCGGATGGCAACTCATCTAAGAGAAGGCAAACTCTGAAATTAACCCCGGAGATGGAGTCCCGTGGGTGGAATTGAAACGATGAAAACTCCAACCACTCCTGCAACGTAGAACGCAGGGAAACACACACGTACGCTGCTGGTCATCTACTGCATCATCCTGGTCTATTTCCAGTTGTTTTGACTAACTCTTGCCATTGGATCAAATGGTCAAGGACGAGAGCGTGAGGCTGAGGAATTGAGCAACTCTCCCTGTCTTTTAAACAAAATACAGCTCAAGTCGAAAAATTGCCTTGGTCATCTTCACATGCGAAGGACGAATAGAGAGAGAGAGAGAGAGAGAGAGAGAGATGTTAACCATAAAGTGTGTCCAATTTTATTAAAGTTTCCCTTTCAGTTAGTGCAAAGGAAGTTTCTTTGTAATAGTTGTATGGCCGTAAACGCAAGAGTGATTATACCAAAAAATGAATTACGTCTAGCTAATTTGAACAACACTGTTTTAATTTAATTTTTTTTTTTAAACGCCCGTGGGGGGTGGGGGGGTGGTGGGAAGGATTACCAAGGCAACAAATTCAATCCAAAGATAATAAAAACATAAAAAATAACTTCTGTATCATGACCAGTGGTGTCCAAATAACAAACGCTAGATTATTCCTGTTCATTAGGCGTTCATGGTACGGATGTTTGCAACAGCCACTAACCAATCTTAGTATTTAAGATGTTCCTTACGTCTAGATTTAGCTGAAATGTGTTCAGGGCACAAAGAAAATGTAAATATACTACACTAGAGATTAACTGGGTGTTGGTGTTTGTTGTTTTTTTACACTTGGTTCGGGTATTTGAGCGTTTGAGAAAATACCCGATGGGCCCGGGGGTGTTACAAAACAGGAGTTAACTTCTCATTTTCTATCCTATAAAATCCCATTCCAAAGCTAGTAGCGGATGTTACATCAAGATTTACGAGAAAGTAACTTAATCCTCTTGTTGTCACCACACAATGCCCACCCCGCCCATGACACTGCGTCCAACACAGACAAGGAAAAGTGTAATTATATCTGCGTTCAGCGGTGTTCAGTATTTGTTCCGTGTCAATATACATTTTTTTTTTACCTGCTTCCATGTTCAAAAGTCATTTTTGTTTTTCAAACTAAAAAAGTGTAAACCTTATCTCGCCGCAATATCACAGGGAAATCACCCGTGGCGCCGACAAGTTACAGCCCAGACACCAGGTCGAACAGCAAGTGAATAAATTGACTGCAAGATACCTTGGGCGTCCTGTTAAGAAAGAAGGTGCTCATAAGTGAACTTTTTTGTTGTTTATTGACTTTCTGCTTTTTTTTTCAAAAATGCATTTTTTTTCTTTGCATTAACACCTCCAAGAGGGGGGGCTGTGCTGCCATCAGTGGCGTAGGAATTACGGTGCGCACGGGGCGGTATCTGGTCCGCCGGGGAGGGGGGGGTGCCCTTTTTTTCTTTATATGTGGGGGGGGGCGGAATTTTCGGTGAACTGCAGAGTTTCGGTTTTCGGGAAAAGGGGGTGGCAATGCACGGGGCGGTATCTGGTCCGCCGGGGAGGGGGGGTGCCCTTTTTTTCTTTATATGTGGGGGGGGGGCGGAATTTTCGGTGAACTGCAGAGTTTCGGTTTTCGTGAAAAGGGGGTGGCAAAAATCTTGGTCCAGTACGCTACTGACTGCTATCGAGCTGGAAATGTATAAATTGAACCACTATATATGTTAAAGCTTGATTTGAACTTAAGGTAAACAAAGGACATGTCAGACACTCTCAGCTAACATAAAGAGGGTACGAGGAAAGATGCAGAAATAGTTTGGGTCAGATATACGACAAAGAAATACTAGTTAAATATTTTCAGGTTATAAGATGATTGAATTTATCGTAAATGGTCGATGATCATATTTCTCGATTTCCTTTGAAGCAGGTAATTTATTTTTAACAGTCATTTTGAATTTAATTACCGCTCAAAAGCTGAAATATGTATCAATTGCCATTCGTAATATATTTTATATCTTTGCACAAACACCGGATTTTCGTTTTCAACCAAAAAAAAAATTGCAGGTTGTATTTTATGGATTTGAACATTTAGAGATTATGATTGGTCTTTATCTTACCACTAATCGACATAACGAAGTACCCCTATAGTAATTTTTTAATAATAATCACCTTTATAAAAACACGCTGAATCAATGCAACAAACAATTATGTGTCACCCTCACAACCCTGCTATCAATCAATAAAACACACATTCATCAAATTCTACACACGATAAATCCAAACCGACATTATTAATTTGACCTTAATGTTAATAAATTTCTAAGTTATTTATTCATCCAAAATACTTAATGTACTTGAACAAAAACTAAATTCCTCGTTGTTAGTTATTAAAGAGGAATAAATTTGTCTTTCAAAATACATTTCTGGAGCATGTGAATGTTGCAATAAATTAATGCTATTATGCAAAAAATCAATCATGATTTATGCTATTATATTGTCAAGCTTTTGACATAAACCTTTTTTATTGCGTCCGATCCCCACCACCACCCCCCATCCCCCCAACCCAACCCCCCAACCCTTTTTATTCTTGTTGAAACACAGCAAATGAACAATCCAACAACGTGGCTCTTTGAATCTCAGTGTTTAAAACACTTGATCCTCTAATTGCCTACTCCGCGCCGTACACTTTATTTACGTCTGGGGCTATCATTTGTGTGCAGTCAACCTTACCTAAATCTTTGCCAACTGGCGTGGAACATAATGGCATAATCCACACCGCACCTGGCTTCATTCGTGTCCAGCAACCAGCCCGCCAGCCCCTAGGCCCGGGGTGCACAGTTCCAACCATGAGGAAGGTTTGTCGAACTCTTTTAATGCTTTAATGATATAGACACCTCGTTGAGGCTCGGGGGTCTGGGGATTCAAACTCATTCAGCCGTGTCGTGTTGCACAGCCCCCACGCGTAGTTTGACAAGCTGTAACCACATAACACTTCAAAACACCGCGAGTGCATAGGATATGTTGTATGTTATCACACACCCTTGTTTATTGTTATTATTTTTAACCTCGTCGTCAACAAAAGAATAGTGATGCTGTACCTTTTTTTTTTCTCATTCTGTGCATCAGAGCGTGGATTTTTTTACGTTTAATTTACGCCTCATTAGAGTCACGGCTGATTGAATCGTGCAACAAAGGTATATACGATACTTTGTTGTTGTTTTTTCCTTGCGTCTGTCACCTAAGAATTGTGCACTCACGCAACAGTTCAGCATAAATTCACTTGTTGAAAATGACTTACACATACCCTTTTAAGGGCTTAGGAAAAAATAATTTGAGAATTATCATTACCTATATTAAGATTTCCTAAACGTGCAACAGCTGTGTTGATTGAAATGATACTCTTCGATTTAGAATTGCGATTTGAGTGCATTTGTGACCAGCGGTTCAAGCGAATGGAAAGGAATAGTTGCGCCAGAAATTATGATAGAGAATGCTAATATGGTTTACTATTTTTAAACAAAATATAAGCAACATTTCAAAAAATGTCAACTCCACACTTGGTTTCATTCGAAGAAATCTGTGCCACTGCCCACTTCCTGCAAACGAAATGCCTATCTTGCCTTGTCCGTCCACTACTAGAATATGGTGCGATCATCTGGGACACACACCCAAAGATAGACGTGAACACGATGGAGCGAATCCAACGTAACGTGGAGCACTTCATGGCACGTCACTGGCCTCTTAAAAAGATTTGGTATCCCCTCCCTTAAAGACAGACGAGAGGGGCTCCGCCTGATATTCTTATATAAAGTGGTTATGGGGCTGGTGCTGGCCATCCCAGCAGGCACGTACCTCATCCCAAAGAAGCCGGGTCGATTGATCAGAGCCAAACGCTCACTGAACACCGATTTCAACACTGAGAACCCCACAAACAATTACACCCGAAACAACAGCAAATGCTTCATCGTGCCTCTGTGTGACTCAGTGCAGTGTGAACAATCATTCTTGCCACGCACAATCATTTGCTTGGAACCACCGGGACAAAGCCACTGTGGCCTCGACGTCGGTCGAAAGCTTCAAGGCTGGCCTGGCATCTGCTAGGAGCTGTTAGAATAGCAACATCGCTGCCCCAACCGTTGCACAAATACCAGTATATGGATGCAGCAACGAACACTACCAGAACCAGGGAACCAGAAAAAAAAGTACATTTTAGCAAATCTTCGTTACCCATTTGTTTTTCTTTGTAGCTGTCATACATACGGGCTATTCTTGTTGCCTAATAGTGTGAGTCTCCGGGTGTTGAAATCCCTGCAACGCATCAAAGAATATGATTAACGAGTAACGCCCTTAACACAA